GGGACAGGACGGGCTGGGCTGGGCTGGGCTGGGCCGGGCCGGGCCGGGCCGGGCGGCGGGAAGCCGGAGCCGCAGGGCCTGACCCCGTAGCCCCGGCGGGCTGGGAAGGGGCTGCTTGAAATAATGGGCCGTGGCCACAGGAGGTAGGGGCAGGGGAGAGACCGAGCTGGTGACCCTCATCCCTTTTGGGTCCGGGGCACCTGCCTCGCTGGCCCCCTCCCTCCCCGCGCCGAGTCGGAAAACCCTGCTGTGTTGCAGCGCGGGCCCAGGTCCTTGCCGGGGGGCATCCAAGCAGGGACAAGTTTTTGCCCCCGCGTATCGCTTGTCTCCTCGGGCACCCTGCCAAGGATTTGGCGGTGCCCGTCACCACGGTGGTGAGCCGGTGAATGAAGCACATCCGACGTGCGGAAGCTTTCCCGATCTGGAGCTCGCTTTGCCCCGCGTCTCTGCAAACGCTGTGGCTCCGAAGGCGGCAGAAGCCCTGGCCTTGGGGCAGAGGGCTACACGCTTAATAGATAACCTTAGTTGTGCCAAGACAACTAAGGACCGGATCCTGCAATAATATCCAAATCCATGAGTCTACATAGAGCTCCCTTGACTTCCAGCAGGCGGTAGGGGCCTGCATGCATGGACCCAGTTGTAGCCTTATTATCCAGCTTGTGAGATAAGGCAATGCCATTGTTATAAAACAATAAGGATCCATCTCCAGCCCACGGGGCCTTGTTGTACAGGGCATTGGTCTCCCCACTGGTTCCAGAAATATGGTGGTGAAGGAGTGGAAGCAGTTAATGCTGCCTTCCAGACAGAGGGGAGCTTTGTGAGCTGAATGATGTGGCCCAGCATGACGGATCACTCCAGTGCACAGGATAGGGCCAGTGTGTGGGGTCAGGCTGCAGCTGGATCTGGCACATAGGATCAGGCCAGCACATGGGTTCACTCCATAGCCAGATCTGGCATGTGTGCCCAGGCCAACTCACCGGATTGCAACTTGGAGACGGACCCTGCACACCGACCCCACACTCAATCTGTCTCATGGGCTGACCTTGCCTGCAGGATCTGGCCTGTGGTCTGAGCCCCTTCCCCCCAACAGATCCGGGCTACAGGCCTGGAAAGTTGAACAATACTATTATAGATTCAGTGTTTGGTTTTTTGCCTCAAAGATGCAAGTCTCAGAATCATCAAAAATTAGGGTTGAAAGAGACCTCAGGAGGTCATTTAGTCCAACCCCCTGCTCAAAGCAGGACCATCCCCAACTAGATTATCTCAGCCAAGGCTTTGTCTAGCCAGTCTTAAAAACCTCTAAGGATGGAAAGTCCCCAACTTCCCTGGGTAACTTGTTCCAGCATTTTACTATCCTCCTAATGGGAAAGTTTTTCCTAATATCTAACCTAAAGTTCCCTTGCTGCAACTTGAGATCATTGCTCCTTGCTTTGTTATCTGCCACCACTGAGAACAGTCTAGCTCCAATGCAAGTCTTAATATATAGGGGCAGATTTTCTGTAAACTGGTGCAACTTCTGTGAAGCCAACTTACATTAATTAGCACAGGGGTGGGCAATTATTTTGGGCAGAGGGCCGCTTACTGAGTTTTGGCAAGCCATCGAGGGCCACATGACAGGCAGCCCAGGGCAGATAAATATTAATTTTCCAAATTTTTTAGGGACCCTGCGGGCCAGATAGAATGGCTTGGCAGGCTGCATCTGGCCCCCCAGCTGCGTTTTGCCCACCCCTGCACTAGCAGGTATTCGGCTTTTATTTTCCATCAATTCTTTTGTTATGTCTTGGCATTTATGTAACAGCGAGCGTCTAAATGTTATGACAGTAATCGTTTCCATTCACAGTTCTCTGAACTCTGTCAACATATGATACAGCATCTTTGTCTGGCACATGTAAAAAACCAAAAGCATTAAATAATATCAACATCATAATGAATAAATGAAAGGGCATCTTACTGTGACAAGACAATTCTTAAGTCTTTAGTTGAGAGTATGTAATATTCAAATATCACAGCACTTCATGGTATTTATTTTTCAGTCATCACGTGTGCAACATACTAAGTGTATCACCTAAAATTTTTATGTAATAGCAATGTAAATGACCGGAATGCAAATGTGGATCTTGTTCTCTAAAATAAGCGTTGGTGTTCACAGGTGTTAGCATTATACCATTAGGGAGGCATAGGTTCAGTTTCTTAATACTATTGTGTAGAAAAGTGAAATTTTAACTCTTGGAAACATTAATAGAGTAGTCCACCCCCAGGCCTCCTTTTCAGGTAGATGATTTAGTATATTTACCTGAATTAGTCACATTTCTGAGGCCTACATGTTAAGAAATTGATTTTGTGACTTGCCCAGGGCTGCAGGTGGAGTCACTGTCAACTTTGAACTGGAATTTGGGAGTTATTCTTCTCTATTCTTATGGTTATGCCACTTAATCACACACTTTCTTGTAAGGTAACATCTCTGCCTGTTGAGTAGCATAGTTACTGGTCAGAGTTTTCTATAATTTCTTTAGAGCAGAGAGAGGGGGTATGGGGTATTATAGGAACTAGGAGTGCACTGTTATATCAGTTGGCTATTGGATTGGCACCAGTAAAAGGAAAAATACTGTTCTCGGCTTTTTTTGATGTAGCTGATAATTATGGCTGTGTGCCTGGAGCACCCTGGTGAGTGTAGTTTGGTCCCCGTGCCCCGCTGCTGGCCGAAGCCTGTGGCAGACTACAGGTCCTGGTGAGCAGTGGGAGGGGAAGGGAGCACCAGGGAACGGTCTCAGGGAGCTGCTGTCAGCACCAAAGGGACTGTTACCAGCTCCTGCCGCTGCCATGGCAGTGTCACGTGTGC